GGCTGGGGATTCGAACCCGCCATCTTAGGTGTATGTGGCTGGCGCCTTAGCCGCTTGAGCCACAGGCGCCGAGCCAGAACTGCTAACATTTAAGGGACCAGGTACCATTCTAAATGTCATGTGGATTAATTCACTGAAGGCCCTTGGTTTATGTGGCAGGTTCTAACAAGAGCCCACCTTAACAGGTAGTGAAGAGAGAGGATCTTGGGGACGTAGCTGAATTGGGTAGTGCCTGTGGCTTAGTGAGTAGGGCGCCAGCCCCACATACTGAGGGTGGTGGGTTGAAACCTGGCCTGGGCCCAAAAATAGCCGGGCGTTGTGGCGGGTGCCTGTGTAGTCCCAGCTACTCGGGAGGCCGAGGCAAGAGAATCACTTAAGCCCACAAGTTTGAGGTTGCTGTGAGCTATGACATTATATCACTGTACTGAGAGTGATAAAAAAAATTCAAAGTACACTGAACTTTGTAAGTATATTTGTACTTTGAATTTACTTTGTAAGTAAGTATATTCTCTTTTTCACCTCACTTTGTTGCCCTGGGTAGAGTGCCATTGTGTCATAGCTCACAGCAACCTCAAACTCTTGGGCTCAAGTGATTCTCTTGCCTGAGCCTCATAGCAGGTACTGAGGTGCCTGCCGCAATGCCTGGCTATTTTTTTTGAAGATGAGTGTCACGCTCGTTGCAGTTGTGATTGTTGTTTAGCTGGCCCAGGCCGGGCTCGAACTCACCAGGCTTGGTGCATGTGGCTGGCGCCATAACCACTGTGCTACAGGTGCCGAGCCAGATGGATGTCACTCTCTCTCAGGCTAGTCTTGAGCTCCCAAGCTCAAGCAATCCACCCACCTCAGCCTCCCACAGTGCTGGGATTGCAGGTGTGTTTACTCTTTATTTGATCAACATAATTTAAGTGTGCTGCAGCAGTTTAACTCTAGGTTCAAGTGTGCTGTGAGATAAAAAAAGGTTGAAAAACACTGGTCTAAATGCTACTTGCCCCTGTGAAGTTACCAGGTGCCAAGGTGTCCCCTTTTGAGGTCATAGCTTACCAGGTGCTGCAATCCTGACCCCATTAACATCAGTCAGCTCCTGGCCTGGGCGCTCCTCGATGATGATCTCCTGGCCGGTCTGGAGACGGAGATCACACGAGGAGCTGGGGGCAGCCACGTAGAAGGGAATGCCGTGGTGCTTGGCTGCAATGGCTAGCTGGTAGGTGCCCACCTTGTTGGCTGTGTCACCGTTGGCAACCACACGGTCAGCTCCCACGACTACGGCTAACAGGGGTGGTGAGAAGTTGGGTCTCACTACCTGGCCCTGGACTCCTGGAGATGCACCCACCCCCGTAACCCAGCTCACTGACCTGATATGCCCTTGTGGATCATGGCGGCTGCAGCCATGCTGTCTGTGATAAGGGTAGCTGGGATTTGCTCATAGACCAGCTCGAAGGCTGTCAGCCGGGCTCCCTGGTTGTAGGGCCGGGTCTCAGTGCAGAAGGCATGTTCCAGGCAGCCCATGTTGTGCAGGGAGCGGATCACACCTGTGGGAGTCCCCCCTCCACAAACCAGACAGTCCCAGGGAAGGGCACACAGACAAGGTGGTCCAGAGGTTAGGTGTATAGGCTCCTAGGTTGGGTGTGGATTTCCAAAAGCTCACCAAACACAGTCCCAACCCTGGGCCTCTCAGCAGCTATTCCCTCTGCCTAGTATATTCTTCCCCAGACACTGGTATGGTGCCTTCCTCACCTCCTTCACATCTGGTAGAAGACACCTTCTCTGTGAAGCCCTCCCTGATTTCTGGATTTCAACATAGCAACCCACACCTCTGACAGCTTGCTCTCTATCCTTAGCATTTATCACCTAACACCTCGGGTGTACATTTGCCTTCCATATCTGTGGGCCCAGCCTCTGTGGATTCAACTATGTGACTTGAAAATACAGTAGAACCTCCATAGTTGACCGTTTCCCTATGTTGAGCTAACTTTTGTAGAGTCGACACACACCACATGTATATATCAGCACAGTAGGGCTAGTTTC